AAGAACCAAGATGCATTATGTAAAGGTACAATTCCCAATGAGAAATGTAATTGTGTTGTATACCTACAATGTACCAATAAAAGAATTTTTAAAAACCCCCCAAAACAAGCAACCTAATTGCAGGAATGTATCTTTTTGTTAATGAAGAAAATCTGTACAACACCTAAAAGCCATAAGCCCCGTATTTTTTAACTTTTAAAACCTTGAATGGCTTTCAGTTCTTCCTATTTTTTTACTTAAGCAATGTAACTACATAAGACAATTGCAGCCTCTTTTAGCTATTTCAGGGCTGAATTTAGTAACCAACTATTGGCTATAACATGTTAGAATTTGTGTTAATAATATAGATGTTTTGTTAAACATTCACAACAGATCAATTTAGTAGGAAAGTTGCTAGAGATTCACTTTTCCTGATATTGTAGAAGATTTAAATATTTTCAGGGCTGAGCATATGACAATGTAGGTCCATTATTTGGCAGTAGCACACAGGAGCAGCATTTGGGTGATACACTGACACCTGTGTATAAATTGGCAAAGGGGGCAAGTTCTCCACAGTACAATATCACCTACAAGCTGCAGCCAGCTGAGAGGAAGACAAGGGAACTCGAAGGAGGAAAGGAGGCTTATATACCTCGGTGATGTGGCTTAGATTGTGGGGGAGTCTAGGATGGACAGCTCCAAAGGGCAGCAGAGAAATTGGTTTGCACAGCTGCACATGTTATTTATCTGTGGCTGTAGATGGGTAGAGTGAAGTTTTGCTATGTATTTACTAAGCAGACTCTAAAAGACTCAAAATCTGCTTATTAGAGCTATGTTTTAGAAAATCTTCACAAATGAAATATTAAGAAAAGTCATAAGACAGTAGAGTACCCATATAATCCTCATCTGGTTTCTCCTCTTGACAACATGTTTTATTACTTTACTATGTTTGTCACAGTGAACATCAGCATATTACTATTTAGCCAACCACACTGGGTTTGGAGTAGTTTATTTCGTAACAGCATGTTTCTTTTCCAAGATGACACATCTATGTTTCTCTCTCTCTTTCTTTCTTTCTTTCTTCTTTTCTTTTCTTTTCTTTTCTTTCTTTCTTTCCTTTCTTTCTTTTTCTTTCTTTCTTTCTTTCTGTCTTCTTTGCTTTTCTTTCTTTTGTGGTAGTTTCTAAAATTTCACTTGTTTTAAATTAATATAAAAGTAACAAGCCAAACTATTGGTGAAACAATTAATATAATAAATAATGTAGAAATGAATATATTAGCAAAATATAATAACTCTACTATTACCCCAGATCATAAACCCTTCATTATGGGGGTTTCATTATATTTAGAGTTATCATCAGCATTTGACCAGTATCCAATACATGACTATGGTATTATACCAGCCTATAAATGATTGGACACTTTATCCAATAAAAGATTTGATAGTGTAACAACTAAGGTAAATAAAATAATCAAAACTGTGCTGGAGAAAATTTTGCTGTCATTCTGATTCTATAAGATATCTTTAAATTTTTTAAAAATTATGTTTAAAGTCCATATTTCATTTTTTTTAGCTTTTATCTAATGTCCATTTTTCATTTGATGGTCCATATGAGAATACTTTCTTATAATAAGTTTTCATATCTCCTTCAGCTCCTCTTGACTATAAGCTTGATCTCTGCACTTTTCCAGTGAGGCTGTTTTAGTTTACTCCCTGAATGAGAGGCATAGAAAAAAGCTTTCCTCCTATCTATTGGTGAAGAAATGAGCATGGAAGTTCTGTCAATTATCAATATGTTTATTCCAATTATTTAGTAGGAAACATAACTATTGGAATAGTCTAATCTACTGTGAACCGTGGCTAAGACAAACATTCATTTTTACTTTCTCCCTTCCTTTCTCATTGTAATGTGGGAGGAATGATAATGCTTTGGGTTTATGAATACTGTACAAATTTATATGAGTTCAATTGTTTCTGTAGTGTATATTTATTCTTCTTTACAGTTTCCATAGTGTGTTTTCTGGTGCTATGACAGAATACCTGAGACTGAGATTTATAAAGACTGCAATTTATTTCTTATAGCTTTGAATTTTAGGAAGTCCAAAGGCATGGTAATAGCATTAGGTTTGGTCTTTCCTGCTGTATCATATCATATCTGAGAATATAACATGGTGAGGAAAACACAAACAAGAAGAAAAGAAAAATCCAGCCAAACTCATCCTTTTATGAGAAGTCCACTCCCATGATAACTGATTCATGTCCATAATAAAGTTTTACTCTGTTGTTCTGTCAGAACAACTCAATTCTTAATGCTGTTACAATAGCGTTTAAATTACAATGTGAATTTTAGAGGGGACATAGAAACCATAGTCCTTCTGATTCTCTGGATGTGGTATCTGTATAGAAGGACTGGAAGATTGCTTCCTAAATACACATGGAACATCATTTCAATATTCTGATTCTTAGGGACATGCATTCTCCTTCAGTCAGTGGATTTGGGAATGAGGGACTGTCTCAAGTTGGAAATTTTTTTAAAAAACATTTCTATATTTTTATTGAGATAGTTGCCCTAAGATTTATGATATGTCTTGGTTTGTTTGGAGATATAGTTTGAGAAATAGCTTTGTTGACTGACATTTATCCAGAATTCAGGAAAAACATTTTATTAACCGTCTGTCTTTGTGAATCAGGTGACCATGACACTACAAAAACATCCTCTCAACTTGGTTTAGAAGATAATGCTCTGTAAACTTACCCTTATTATTTTTGAAATGTGTATAATTCTATACAAATGACTGTAATTGTACCTTTACTTCATAAGAGGACTTTGTAACTTTAGCCTAACCTAGCCATCACAGGGCTTATCACTGATTCTGCCTCTTTTCCAGCAGTATACAACTTCTTCCTTCACTTAATAAGACGACCTCTACTTCCTTCCGTGAAACATAATTTGCTAGGAGATATTGGCATTTTACAATATATCCACGATGTCCAGTCCTCTGCAAATTGTGATCTCTTCCTGCATCATGTACCTTGGCATTGCTAGCATTATTATTTCATTGATCATGGATCATTATTTTCGCACAGCTTCCAAGAACTAAGCTATAACATGCTCTGACAAAAATCTGAAGTCTGTGTCAGTGGGAATTATTTTCTTATCAATGAACCTTGTCTATCTACTTTAAAATTTTTTATCACATTGTTGTTGTTGTCATTTTGTGTTTTTGTTTTTAAATGGGCTTTACATTTTTTAGATATGCCAACACAGGTGTCATAATTCAATATCCTATACTTACTCAAACATGACCCTGAATTTGACAAAGAAGTTACAGTAAGTTGGAGAATTTCTCTTCTCTGGTGATGCACTGCCCCTAACATTTCTCTTCTGTGCTAGTATGGTACAAGAGAATCAGTTACATTCTTCCAAGGAGAGTTTCTGACTGATGGTTAAAAATAGTGTTGTTTCATTTTCTTTCTTCAATATACAAATGGTCCTATCAACAGTCATACAATTGTATTATGCAAATAATTATGATTTGTGCAGCTTTCTCTAAATTTACCACTCTTTCCATTACTCATTTTGTTTCTGATGTTTACTTCCATGCATAAATGTTTACATATTCTTTCTTTGCATGGATTTTTATTTCTCTAGCTTTAAAAAATGTTTGGAGTATTTCAAATCTCTGCTGAGAGACAATATGACCATTTTGTCTACAATTGCCCCTGTTATCTATTCTTTCAGAATGATTTACTTCTGACATATCACATTTTCAGAATGAAAAATTATTTGCTCATTATATATGTTACTTTTATGCAGAACTGAAGATTCTCCATCTCTACTAAATATGCATTATATGAAGCACAGGGTAGGTATACTTTGAGGACATTTGTCACGAGTAGGCCATATTAGGCATTCAGTATATATTTGCTGAAACAATCTTTTCTGGTTAAGAAATTGTCTAAACTCTTATAAGATTGATAGACTTGGCTCATGAATATTCCAGGATATGTGTTGCCATTGAGATAGAAATAATTGAAGGTACTTCTTAAATTTTAACTGAAGTTTCCACACAGGAAAATCGCATGTGGGAGTTGGCCCTTAAGCCAAGGGCATCACTTTCTTCTGAAATAGACTGATGTGCAATCAGTATAAACATGGCAGTGAAGATGTTTCTAAGAACGTAGCAGGCCAGTTTTTATAACTTAATTTCTTTCCTCTTTCTTGAAACTTTGTTTTCCATGTTTATAGGGAAATTTTCAGTTTGTCATCAAAACTAATGAAAATAGATCCTTTAATGATTGAACTAACTTCAATTTAAAACACTGGATTCCATTTTAATTTATGCTGCTAGATAATTCTTTTAAAATTTTAAACTTTATTGAGATCATAATAAATTAGCCCTAGTGGCACCAAATCACAAGTTCTTGAGAAATTTTTCTATCACTTTTAATTATATTGATTGCCGTATGACAGACAATATTCTGAAGATACAGAAGCATTGCTTTAAATAAATAACAAATGGAATCTTTTATAAGAACAAGCATTGAAAAGGAAATGTTTTTAAAGTCTCAAAATTATTTTCTGAAACATCAATATCACTATTTACTATTAAGAAAGTAGCCACAGAGAGTTGTCTCGTAAAGATCAACACAAGTAGTACCATAAGAGGCTGTTTTGGAATTCAAAACTAAATAGTACGACTTCAGTGGCAATAGTCTTGAGCACTACCTTTTGTTATTCCATTAAATGTTTTAGAAGCAAAAGTATTACCGTCCAACCAAGACAGTGTCAAACAGTGTATGTTAAAATCACTTAATGTGATCAGAAATATGAGCATACTGCTTTGCTTTCATAAGTCATGGAAACATGTGAAGGGGAGACTTGATTGTTTTAGAATTTGTGAGATGTTAAGATTTGGAGAAAACATTCTCTGATTCTCTTGGTCCTTATGCCATAGATCATTGAGTTCATCATGGGTGGAACAAGGAGACAGATGTTTGCAACAAAGGTGTGAATATGAGGAGCCACATTGTGCCCAAACCTGTGAGTAAGGAAGGAGAAAAAGGCTGGAGTGTAGGCTACTAAGATCACACAAACATGGGATCCACAAGTGCCCAAGGACTTGAGTTGAGCAGCCTTGGATGGAAGATGGAATACAGTGTAAAGGATGACCATGGAACATATGATCAACATGAAATCTAATCCACCAGTTAGGAAAGCAGCAGTTAAGCTGTATATTCTGCAGATCCTAGTTTCTGCACAGGCAAGCTTGACCAAGGCCATGAATTCACAGTATGTATGAGGAATGATATTAGTTCTGCAGTAAGAAAGCCACCGAAGCATGAATGGCTGAGGACTAAAAAGTAAAGCCCCATGAAAAACAATAGCTAACCCCATGTTCTGGATAACTGTATGTTTCAGAATAATGGAATGTCTCAGAGGATTGCAGATTGCTACATAGAGGTCAAAAGTCATAGCCAAAATAAATCCTGAGGCCATGCTGCATAGTGAATGAATGAGAAATACTTGTAAAAGGCAGGCTTCAAAATAGATCTGTCTGTCATGGAACCAAAAAATGCTGAGGATTTTAGGTATAGCAGTAGTTGAGATGATTAGGTCAGCCACACCGAGCATACAGAGGAAAAAGTACATGGGTTTATGCAGGTTGGAATCTGTTTTGATAATAAAGAGAATAGAGAAATTCCCCAAGAGAGCACACAGGTAAACAAGACAGAAGGGGATTGATAGCCAGGTGTGGATGGCTTCCATTCCTGGGATGCCAAGGAGAAGAAAGGTACTGGGATACATATTACTACTGTTTAACAATGGCATGATAAGTACTACTGGGTGTGCTCAGTTGTAGAATCATGGGATTTTTTTCATATTCATCTTTCCCTTAATATATTAACAAATGCATTAATTTATATAGAATACTTGAGAAATAGTTTTTACTTCACAGATAAAACAAATGGGATCTAATGCCTAATTTTTGAACTTTAGAGATCAATATTCTAAGGGAAAAAATGGCACAAACAAATGATTTTATTCCCAAGTGATTATGGCAGTAAAAGATATATGGATAAGTCATTCAAATGACCCAGGAAGTAGAGAAATTATTCCACTTGTGTTAATCAAAGGACCCTTAGAGAAGTTGTTTAATTTTTGTTCCAAAGCATTCTGGACCTTTAAATTAAAAAATTAAAGATAACTATGACATGATCTCACATACATGATATCTATAAAAATTGAATTCATGGAAATACAGAATAGCAGATTATTACTAGGAGCTTGGGTTTGGGAAGATATTTTCATTTATGTCTGCCTTGTGTCATGAAACAAATGAGTCCATGGTGGCAAATTGATAAAAGAAAGTTCCTGTATGTTATGCTTATTTTGATTGTTTAAAAACAACCCTTTTTATGTGTCTTGGCAAAAAGAAAATTTGAAACATTACAAATCAATCTTTGAACAGAAATTGAAAGTTGCCCATAAAAGGAGATGGAAATAATGGATTACTTTTTAACAATAATTCTTGCTTGGAAAAATTTTAATAACATTATAACATTTTACTGAAAAAATAATGTTCTAGTGGTATGTCATGAATTATTATAACCATTCTTTTCATTTTATTCACATCTACTTTCTAATATTCATTTTTATAGACATTTAAAAGCATATTATTTTTCTTATAAACACTGCAATAATCTTTCAAATCTTCAAATATTTCTGAGCTTTACAAGGGATATTTTTGTTGCATTTGAATTTTCATAGTGGAACTCAAGCCTTCAATGAAACACTAATTTAGAATTCATTTAAGAAAACAATTTTTAAAATATGTTAAGGTAGTAAGGACACTATAGAATGAAGAGAATAAATATTTTTCTTAAATTTCTTTAGAATGTACTTTATGTCACAATTAAAATATTCTAGACTGTGAAGAGGCAGCAAAATTTTCTAAACCACTGTATTCTCTTGATTTGTCTCCACAACGTTAATAGTAAGTCAGAAGCCACCCTCTTATAGAGGCAGTCATCCACTCTCAATATCCTTCCTTCTCTAAAGAGTTCCTCTTTCATTCATTTTTCCATCTAATAAAAAATATCAGACTCCAGTTTTCAGGGGTTACAGAAGACTTTTATAGTACTGAAAAGCTGAATTCTACCATGCTCAGAAGTCCCACCAATAATTCTGGGATAGTTTATATGCTAGATATTAAAAAAGCAATGGCAGCACATTGTACCCTTGAAAAGATATAAATCAACACAAGAATTAACAGCTGTACGTACAGGAAGTAGACAGCACTAGAAAATAAGAAATACAGATTTTATCATTATTATTCAAGAATGGCTGAAAGGATAAATAAACAGAAAAGTCTATCTCTATCAGGAAATATACAAAAGTTGCTTATCTTTTCAGAAATGTTGCTCTCAATACTTACTCCAGAGGTCAGGCAAAAAGTGCAGTAGATTTAATGATACCATGGACCAAAAGATGATGAGAGAAGAAATAAACCTATCTCTCAATTTTCAATGACCACTGAGCATGGTCAAATTATTTTCACTTAAAAATGAATAAAATAACATGAAGAGGAAACCCAAAACAACTTTGTAATGAAATGCAACATCTATCTCTATTTATCTATCTATCTATCTATCTATCTATCTATCTATCTATTTATCTATCTATCATCTATCTATCATTGATATTATCTATTTATCTACCTATCTGGCACAAGTGCAAATTTAGGTGACTAAAGGTTTTATTTTCACAAATAAAAGAAATGTTTTCAAACAAGAAAATAATATGCAAAAAATAGGTCTAGTACATCCATGATTTTGCAATTAAAAATACTGCTTAGGATGAATCTTCAATTAAAGGGCAAAGTTGAAAGGAAAAATCCCTACAAAATTATAGAATAGGAGAATGTGTATCATCTCCATTTCATAATTCCAATCTTTCTTTGTAGTACATGTAAAATAATAATACATTTACTTTGTGGTAATAATACATTTTACTTTGTAAAAAGCATAATCAACTTTTAATTAAAAGAACTTATAAAAACACTCACAATAATTCCAAGAAGATGGAAGAGATTTATGGCAGCAATAAAAATCAAGAACCATATACATTTAAAAGAGGACCCAGCCTGACAGAATTCTACCGAGTTTAAGAAAAATTATAAAACTAAATGAAACAAATTTAGAAATGACAGACAACATGTATTTTATTGATTCGTGAAATTCCACATTTAAAAAATTACCTGGTTTATTAACTTCATAAGGGCTATAAACTCTTGTTTGTATAGGTTTTCTGTCCATGCTTCTGAGCCCTGGGTCTCACCTTCCTTTGGTTTTCACTTTCTTTTGACGACTTCATGACTGATGTCTGGATTAGATGGCATCAGAGGTTTTGCAGCATGAGGTGACAACAGGCAGGAGCCAGGCACACCACAGCCTGGCTGGTCCATGCCACTCACATTCCTGGGGAAGCAGAACTGGACACAAGTAAACTCACGAGGTTATTTTCTCTCAGCTCCCAGGGATTTCACCCTCTCATACCCTAGAGCTCTACACTTTCTGCTCCATGAAGAATACCTTAGAAAACCTCATTTACTCTTTAGTCTTTCGTGAATATTAAATGCCAGAAGTTCCCCTTCCAGGTCTAACAAAAAAGGAAGGTGGGGTAAATACTTTCAGGACTCCTATTTTTACTGATACTGCTTATTCTTAGCAAATCTTTACTGCATTGATGGCATATTTTTCCAAAAGGCAAGAACAGAGAGGAAAGATGTAAGATTGCCGGGAAAAAGGAAAACCCTAAACAGAATAAGAACTAGTGGTTTGAGAGTTGACACAGACCATGTATTAACAGATGTAATAAAAATAGTAAATTTTATAAACATTATATGGTTCTTTTTCAGTTTAAATGACAAAAGTTCCATTATAGAAGGCATAAATCATCATCTCATAAATTCTCAGGCCTCTCATCCTAGAAGACTCATTCTAACCCTGAGGTCATTCTGTTTTCTGATTCCCTTGGCCTTGAGAAAGTGCCCAGGTTCACCTCTCTGCTTATTCCTGAATGGAGATATTAAAATGACCCTGTCATATTTAACCATACCTCTCTTGTTATCACCAGAAGCTACAGCTCTGTCTTTTTTATAATCAGCTGCTTTTTCAGGTAATATTAACTCTATTAACAGTTCAAGATCTACAGCCTCCCAGAAACCAAGAAAGTGTCCAGGTGTGGGTTGACTCCCTGGAGAGGCAGGCATGCCACAGTAGAGACTTCTGAGTAGAGGATAGCATCATATCCTCAGAATTTCCCTCTCACCATTTTAAAAATTAAAAATCAAAGGAAAAGGGACAATTTCTTCAATGTAATCTATCTTACTGTATAATTCATTATTTGGAATACACTAGTTGGTCAAAATATTTAGTTTAAAAGCATGATTCTTACAGTAAATTCTTAGAAAGTTACGACCACATTGACATCACATGATTTTGACTTTGTTGATTATACAGAATTCCTATATTCTTAAGAGAAAATGTAATTCAATAAATCCCTTTGTTGTAATGCTATAATTTTCATAATTGTAACTTTAAAGTTGCAGAATGTCTTATTGACTTTATATTTTCTAATTTACCTAAGCATTCTCCAGTACAGAGGTTAATATATTTACTCAAGAAAGGCGGTCAAAAATGCTTTTCATTCTGAGGGGTAGCAACAGATGAATTATATTCATCCATTTAATTCCTGGTGTTTGTTGAGAATCAGCACTGTACAGACTTCAGGCTAAATCTTGAGTATAAAGTTATTATGTTCTGTTGGAAGATCCAGACATTTAGAAAGAAAGGGTTTGGATTCTAATTTTAAATTTTCTTTTTTTAATTGGTACACATTTGTGACCCATAATAAATCAATTTCTTTGAGGAAATTGGTACACACAAACAATGATACAGACAAACAATAGTTAAAACAGCTATCACCACACAAACCAAGCCCTTTGTCTCAAAAAGTTGAAGAATGAAATTGTTGACAGAAAAGAGGTTAAACAAAAGTGTTTATTGGAAATATAGAAGAAAACCATAAAGCTGCCAGTCAGTAGCTGTGGGGATGGGAGTCTCAGGAATTGGGTGCGGATGGACTTTTTCTTCAGAATCTTTTGTGGAGGAGCAGAATATGGGAATCTGCCCAGCATCCAGTAGCCACCTATCTGAGGTGGTCCCATGGGACTCAGACTCTCTAAACCAGTGACTCAGTGTGCAGAGTTAAAAGGAAACCAATTTAAAATCTCCAGGTGTTTTCCATTTCTAAATTCCTGGGAATTTAACCCTGGATGTAAGGAGAGATTGCATTCTCCTTTGGCTGAGAAACTATGAGTCAAAGACTCAGTTTCATAACCTATTCTTGTTTTAATTCTTAACAGTGCAGATGAACATCTCAATTCCATCTCAGCCCTTTCTCTTTGTAGCTTCCCATTCATAAACTAAATAATTATAGTACTTCTTACAATATATTGATCATTTTAGTTGACTTAGTGACATTTCAAACTTCAGAGTGCTTATTTGTAGCATGGTCTCTTTGGCCTCAGATAATATTTATTGATTCAATTACAATGATAAATATATGCACAATTTCCAGAAGTCCAAAATACTCTGACATTATGATATGATTATGGATAATACACAAAATTAGGAGAGTGGGTATTAGAGACAAGGATCAAAACACAGAGGGAAATGTGGGGGAATAGAGGGGAAAAGGATGAGAAAAGAATTAAAATGTGTTATGTACCGACTCCCCCCAAGGAATGTGAACTTTATGTACTGAAA